TTGCTTAACATTTTCGATATGGGTTCTGTGTTAACACAGCCATGCCAAATGCAAATGTTCCGTTTAATTTTCGGTAGGTTCAAGTTCATACTACAGTATTCCATCCTGAGGTCCTGTATTGAGTTATATTTTTTTTTTCAAAAAAATGACAGAACTGGTTAATTTCATAAATTATTATTATTTAAAATATACTTATTTCCTCTTTGGAGTCGACGTCAATGATCGAAGTTTTGCAATGAAAAGGAAAGCCAGGAGAAGAACCTACGCACCCACCATTATGCAATGCGTTGCGCCGTTGGTTAAGCGGCTCATCAGGCATATTGGGCTATGTAGCTTTACAAAGGTCGGATGTTGATAAGTTGTTTTTATGTCGCAGGTGATGCGAAATTGCAACTGCGAATTACATTCAAATTTGTCAAGTTTCGATATTTGTATTCTTTATTGCAGCGATGGATAATTAATCCACACACAGTTGCATACATGTTATACAGCGTTGCCCATATTCGACGGACCCATCTGGCAACGACATAACATTTGACAGAGATGTCACATCGCTTAATGACATACCGCGTTTGAAGCGTCAGTCCAAGCAGATTTTTAACATGAACCAATACACGCCACGCGAGCCCTCTGAAATAGTTGAAATTTACATTCAACTGAAGAAGTCAATAGTGAAAACTCAACGTGCTTTTAAAACATTAAAAAATGTGAGAAGTGCGCCTTCTAAGAACACCATTAAGCGTTTATACGAACCATTTTCTTTCTAATCCGAAGAGCCATATAAAAATCGACCAAGGCGATCAGCCGACAATATCGCTGCCGTAGGAGCCAGCGTTGAGAGGTCCCCAAGAACATCCCAAACACGCCGTTCTCAGCAGTTGGGCATGGCTCGGTCCACTTTACAACGGATTATTCGCATTGATTTGCATTTGTTGCCGTACAAAATTCAATTGACGCAAAGAATGTTGCCTGCGGACAAGCCTCGTCGATTGGAATGGACCACAAAGAGTCATCGAAATGGCCGAAGATGACGAGCAATTTTGGAACAAAATTATCATGTCCGATGAAGCCCATTTCACATTGAATGGGACCGTAAATAAGCAAAATTGGCGTTTTTACGCCACTGAAGAAGTGCCTCTTCATGACGAAAAAGTCACAGTTTGTTGCGGTGTTAGTGCGAATACGGCCATTGGGCCGTTTTTCTTCCAAAATGAAAATGGCCATGCTGTTACCATCAATCAGGAGCGTTATCGCGACATGATGACCAATTTTTTGATGCCAATTATTCGTCGAATGCGTATGAGGCAGTTGTGGTTTCAACAAGACGGCGCTCCAACGCACACAAGTTGCATAACAATCGATTTTCTGAAGAATTTGTTTCCGGGCCGTTTGATGTCGAAAAGTGGTGATTTGGAATGGCCACCGCGTTCGCCCGATTTGACGCCGCCTGACTTCTTCTTGTGGGGATATTTGAAGTCAAAGGTTTACGTTAACAAGCCAAGGACCGCAGAAGAGCTCAAGTACAACATTCGTGAAGAAATAGCCGCTATTCCGGCCAAAATGTTGGCAAAAACGATGGAAAATGGATATCATATTCAAAAATTGATGTAAACAAATCTACTTGGAACGAATTAAATGATTAACATTGTCAACCGCCAAATTTTTATTTTTTTTCTTTAATTTAAAAAAAAGTGGGTCCGTCGAATATGGGCAACCATGTACACGTTTTGTTTGGCGAACGCTAAGTGGTTTGGCAGCATTTTGTTGCTCTGGGACCTAGGCCGTGCTGAGGCTGTAAGGGCGATGATCATTTGAATGAGTTTTAAAGTCAGTTTTTTCCTATTTCGTGTCGAGTTTAATGATAGAAGTTTAGCAATGAAAAGGAATGTCAGGAAAAGTACCTATGCACCCACCATTATGCAACGCGTTTCGCCGTTGTATTATCTGATGATTTAAAAGACACTTTTCGGTTCTTATGCCTCATTTTAATTATGAAATTGACCTACACTACATGAAATTGACCTACACACTTTATGAAATTGACCTACACACTTTAAAACCTACGTTTGCCCAATAGAGACCAAATTTTGTGATTAGCTCCGACAATGTAATTTCGTTCCATTTTTAAACCCTTCACCACACTGTGGTACAGGGTATTATGTCTTTGTGCATATGTTTGTAACAGGCAAAAATAATCGAGATAGACCCATGGTTCCTTTTGAGAATATGCATAGAATCACTTTCTGAGTCGATTTATGCATGTCCGTCTGTCCATGTTAAATTGTAAACAAAGTTCAGGTCGCATTTATTATCCGAATTGGATGAAATTTAGCAGAAGTCACTTATTTGGCCCAAGGATGAACCCTATTGAAATTGGGAAAAAAGGTTCAATCTTTCGATTTGCACGAAATTTGGCATAGCGTACTGTATTAAGTCTAGAATGATGTGTGCAAAGTTTCGTGATAATCGGTTCAGATTTAAATATAGCTCCCGTATATATCTTCGTCCGATTTAAGGTAAATGTTGTCCCAAAGTCCCTATATATCATTCGATTTGCATGAACTTTGGCGTAGCGTACTGAATTAAGACAAGAATGATGTGTGCAAAGTTTCGTGAAAATCCGTTCATAATTAGATATAGCTCCCATATATAGTTTCGCCGGATTTAAGGTAAATAGTCCACTAAAGTCCCTATATATCTTTCGATTTGTACGAAATTCGGCACAGTGTAATGAATAAGGTCTAGAATGATATATGTTAAATTTCGTGAAAATCGGTTTAGATTTAGATGTAGCTCCCATATATATTTTCATCCGATTTAAGGTAATTGATGCATCAAAGACCATATGTATCATTCGATTTCCACGAAATTTGGCATAGCGTACGGAATTGCGTCTATATTTATGTATGCTAAGTTTCATGAAAATCGGTTCAGATTTAGATAAATTTCCCATATACACATTTTCGCCAGATTTTAAGTAAATGGTGCACCAAAGTCCCTGGAAATCTTTTCATTTGCTCGAATTTTGGCATAGCGTACTGAAGTCTAGAATGATATTTGCAAAGTTTCGTGAAAATCGGTTCAGATTTAGATATAGCTCCCATATATATGTATATATATATATATATATATATATATATCCGATTTTATGTAATTGGTGCACCAAAGTCTCTATATACCTTTCGATTTGCACGAATTTTGGTATAGGGTACTGAATTAAGTCTAGAATGATGTTGCTAAGCTTCGTGAAAATATCCAAAGCTAGGCCGATTGACACATCGTACTGAAGTAATATAAATTAGTCTCTGGCAAGTTTCCCTGACATCGGTTCAGATATAGATATTTACAAACACGCGGCGTCTGTTAGGATACATATGTACAATATACCCAAAGTGGTGAAGGGTATCACATAGTCGGCCCAGTCCGACTTCACTACTTTCCTTACTGGTTATAAATGAACTAAGTCTGTCTGATTTAGAAGAAATGGTGAAAAGATACCGAATATCATGTATATGCATTGATTGAAGTCGGTTCATATGTAGATATGACCACATACTTAATTCCGCTTTTACCAGGGTTGACTAAAGATGTTACATCTATCCGATCCACAGGGTATACCCAAAGTGGCGTTGAGAATTATATAGTCTGCCCAGTCCCACATTGATCCTTTCCTTGCGGGTTATAAACTGAGTTTGATCTTTTTATGTCAAAACCTGTCCTAAATAAACCTAACCTTAATTCACAGCCAACCAAAAATTAGGTTTCAGCCTTATCTGGCACGAATTTTGACAATCCTTGCATCCGTAGCCCAGGCACGATACCAAATATTGTTAAAAATAAAAATCTACTGACCACCACTGTTTAAACTATTGCCATTATTTAAACAAGCTACAACTAATGATGATGATGCCGACGACGATGACGATAGCAATGCTATTACTGATTGCTATGCTGTTCTCCTTTCACTAAAATTTAACCAGAATAATTTTCTGCTTCATCTAATGATGTTGGTGGTATTCCACTAATGTACCTTATCTTTGGCTCCACTGGCCGAACAATGATGTCCATGATGATGATGATGATCACTGAAAAATAGTTAATGTACTTGAGGGGGAGGTGGTGGAAAACGTGTGCCAAGGATACAGAGGGAGTTATAATGTACGTGCCTGCGTGTCAGGACTCAAGCTTTAGTTTAATTAGAATGCATAACAAGCCACTAAAACCAAAAATGTTACCACATAGCAAGCACACCACCCCAACCGAAGCTCAGAATGCAGAACAAAAAGAAGTAGTGTGTGTGTATCAGAGAGGGAGAAAGAGAGGGAGGGAAGATGTCAGCTACAAAAGTAGGTTCCCACCCTTACCCCTGCCTATTCTGACTTTGATGCTGAAACCTAAAATGTCATTCATTTATCCCAGACCATTGAGTATCATTGCACTCTGGCTAACTGGCTGGTTGTCTGACACACATCCCATGGTTCATTGGTTGCTCGGATGATGGTGCAGAGACAGGGGCAAAGGTTGTCCACTGCAACTACATTTGCCGAGTTGACATTAGTTTAGATTTAGATTTTACCTTGGCTAAAAATAATATACATGGACGTGAAGCACGTCTTGAGGAAACCGGAAATGCATGACATCAATTTTAATTCTTTCATTGTTATCATGTCGTGCTCGTGTCCTTGTTCTGCTTCATCTTGTTCTTGTTCTCCATCAAAGGTTGTCTATTTTCCTTGCAATTTGTACCATTGTTGCAACAACAACAACAACACGAACAATTTTCTTGTAAGTTTTACTGTAGTCTATTTAACTTTCTTTTGCTTGGCAGACCCAATTCAATTCTGCAATTCTAAGTTTTATTTCTTTGGAACTTTAACCGCTAATGATTTCCCTCCGCATCCTCTTCCGACTCATCTTCGCATTCATTTAAATCGTTTTCTTTGTGTGTACTAAATGTTTGTTGTTATCCCCCCTTTGTGTTTTTTCTTGTTTACTTGCAGTTGCACCACAACGACCACGCTTGGAATATGAGGGCGCCCATGTACCGCCTGGCCATAACATTACCGTGGACGCTGGCTCCTTGGCCACAGTTAAGTGTGTCTCCCACTATGGCAATCCACCTGCAACACTTAAGTGGTTTCTGGGTAAGTTTTGTTGTTTTTTTTTTTTTTTTTTGTAATTTTATTTTTTTTTATTTTCTACTTAATTTGAAGTCCCTACCCCTTATGTTGCTCTGTGACCACAACCTCTCCCTGGAGGTTTATGGCTCATTTCATCAAAATTGTTGTAATGCGTTTTAATGTTTAGTTTCTTGGAATGCCAGCAGTTCCAGTGTGATTATCTGTAATTGTTTTAATATCCAAGACATAGCATTGTGTCTAAAACAAAGGTGGAGGTACCGGAGGATGAGAGTAGTTCGTGGAGAAACTGTCTCAAATACACGTATTGTGTTACATAAGAAGTTGTTGGTTGGGTTGGAGTTGGGGGAGGTATTTACGGTTTAAAACGCTTTAGGTTGCCATGTAACAACATTGGCTTATGGTTACTTTGGTAATTTGTATAGGAATTATTTAATTACACTTTGCAGGAAATCTGAGCATAATTGGTATAGGATTTTTTTTATTTAAAAAATAAAAAATGGAGATAATGGGTTAAAGTATTTAAAAATATGATAATAGTTTAAATTTCCGATTAAGAAATCTAAATGTGTCAAAAATTAGAATTTTTTGAAAAAAATTATTTAACTTTTGGAAAAAAATTCAAAAAATAGGTAATTTTGTTGAAGATATCCTGTAAAAAACGAATAAACAATTATCAAGTGAAAAAACGTTAAGTTCGGCCGGGCCGAACTTTGGATGCCCTCCACCATAGATATACTGACAGATACTAAAAATGAAAATATAGGGAACATACCAAAAAGTGGACCTATACCAACATTTCTAAAAACGGATTATGTAAACCTTAATACAAATTTCAGAAATTTATTTAAAATTTATTTATAATGAATAATTATACTCTCATCATTATGGCTAATGAGGGTGTATACACTTTAACACGGCGAAAATGTGCCTCAATGTGGCTCTAGACCCCATGTTTCTTTGGACCAAATCCGTTTCAGAATATTTAGATATCATCCAAATTTTGCCCATCTTATTATTTCTCCAAACTTAGTTCGAAAATCGGTCCACTCCTTCTGGAACCTCCACACAGAGACTAGGTCTAAATGCTATAGCCGCATTTAGACCTAGTCTCTGTGTTCATTATCGAACCGATGGGGAAAATCGGTCCACTCCTTCTGCAACCTCCACACAGAGACTAGGTCTAAATGCGGCTATAGTTCATTATCGAACCTTACGTTCTAATTTTTTATCTCGCTATCCTCCGCACGTGAAATTATTACAACAGTGTTTTAGAACCAAACTCAAAACGCGGAACAAATCAGATAACTATTTTAATATAAAAAAGGGGGTTATATGGGGACTACCGCAAAAAGGGGACGAATATTAAAAATTTTTGGTAGGGAGATTTGCTACCATATACGACTACAAAATACCAAATTGCAGCAAATTCGATTGAAAAACGCGATCAAGAACCCCCAAATGGGGGCTATCCGAAAAAATGGACCTATATTTATAAGTTTTTGTGGAGATATTTTCTACGCAATAAGAACTCAAAGTACCAAATTTCATCGAATTCAGTTGAAAAACGCGATCAAGAACCGCAAAATACCGAAAATCGGGGGTACCCTTATATGATGGCCACCCGAAAATAATTTTTTGTGGAGACATTTGATACCCAAAAAGAAACAAAGTAGTAAATTACAGCCAAATTCGGTGAAAAAATGCGGTCAAAACCCCCCAAAACTGAAAATTGGGAGGTACCGTTGTATGGGGGCTACCAGAAAAAGTGGACCTAAAGTTAAAATTTTTAGTTGGGAAAGTTGGTATCCAAAAAGAACCCATTTTACCAAATTTCAGCGAATTTGATTGAAAAACACGCTCAAGAACCCCAACATACTGAAAATTTGGGGGTACCCTTATATGGGAGGTATGCCTAAACGTGGACCGATATAGCCCATCTTCGAACTTGACCTGCCTGCAGATAAAAGACGGCTCTATGCAAAATTTTGGCATTCTATCTCAATTCGTTTAGACGCTAGAGTGAGTACAACAGACAGACGGACATGCTTCGATCGTCATAGAATTTTACGCTGATCAAGAATATATATACTTTATAGGGTCGGAAATTATTATTTCTATGCGCTACAAATGGAAAAACAAAACTAATATACCCTCCATACTATGGTAGAGGGTATAAAAACGTTGTTCAGGCCGAGTCGAATTTTTTATGCCCTCCACAAGAGGGGGACATTCAATACGCCAATAGGAAGCGAGGTTAAAATATAGGACTAGGGTCTGGAACATACAGAAAATGATGCTAGGCCATTGTATAGGAATAATGTAGAGACATGAAATTATATCGAAGATGCTATGTGAAGAAGTTGTTCGCCTACCAATGTACCAGAAAAATCTATCGATATTTTACTGTAATCCAATATGTATGTATTTCAATATATTAAGTAAAAATTCTTTACTCTGAAGAACAGTCCGAATTATTTTCTAAAAACATAAAAACCTTACTTACTCACTTAGAGAGAGAAAATTTGTTCCATTAGCCGAGCTTAGAAAAGATTTCCAGACGCGGCGGTCTTGTGTACAGCTCTTCCAAATTGAAAGACCATGTTGCGAATCGTTGTCTTCCACCATCGAATTCGTGGCTCCCCTTCTGCGTGAACCATCAGTTGGATCGTTTTGAGCTGGGGCATCCTCATCCATTCTCACAACATGACGATACGTCTGACTATGTCGATGTCCGCGAATAGATTGTACAACTCATGATTTATTCCATGTCGATATTCACCGGCCCATAGATTTTTCGGAGAATTTTTGTCTCAAACACTACACGAGCCGCCTCATCGGCCTGCGTAAGTACTCATGCTTCAGATCTATACAACAGCATGGGTAGTATCAGCGTCTTGTAGAGTGTGAGTTTGTTCTGGTGAAATGTGGCCTTAATTTTGAATTGCCAACACTATTATACTCTTGATTTTAAAGCTGATGTTATTAGTTCTGTTCATGGCGATACCGTGGTATATAATATCGTTTACCATCTCGAAGCTGTAGTTTTTAAGTTCCACAGTTGGTCGGAGTCAATTGGACGTTGATATTATCAGCTTGGTATTCTCGCCAACTACTGCAAGATGCATATTGACAGACTCCTTCTTAATTCGATCAAAGGTGGCTGTTACCGCTCGCTATGTACGACCCATTATGTCGATGTCGTCGGCGTAGGCGAGTAAAATGTCCTGTTTGATGTACAAAGTGCCAGATCACACGACAAATTGTCACTTTGTCTGAATCCTTGTTCGGTATTAAAGCGCTCTGAGAAGTCCTTTTCAACATTAACTGCTGACCTTGTGTCTGTTAAAGTTATCCTGCATAGCCGTATTTTGTAGGAATGCCGAACGCAGATATGACATAAAATACCTCTGAACGGATGGGACTGTCGAATGCGACTTTATAGTCGTGGTATAGGTGGAATGTGTCGATGTATATTTCGTGGGTCTTTTCCAGGATTTTGCGCAGAGTGAAAATCTGGTTAATGGTGGATTTGTCAGCACTGAAGCTTAATTGATAACATCCCATAATGTCATTGACGTTCAAACAGTACGCTAGATAGCTTTTTTATGCAATAGGAAGGAGACTTATTCTTCTATAGTTGGCGCATATCGTCTTGTCCGTTTTTACGTAAGGGACACAGGATGCTGAGGTTCCAATCAATGGACATGCATTCCTCTAGCCAAACTGTACTAATAATCTGTGCATGCTCCTGACCAACATCTGACCACCAGTATTGAATAGTTCGGCTGGTAACCCATCGGCACCTGCTTATTTATTATCTTCAGCCAATTGATTGCTATTCTGAACTCATCTTGGCTAGGTGGTTTACACTCTATACAGTCATCTCTTATTGGTTCTGGGGTATCTTCTTAACCGCCACTATTTCATACCAGATCCTCAACACGCTGTCTGTGTCTGTCACCAGGTTTCCATCTTTATTTCTACAAGAGGATGTGCCAGCGCCAAAGCCTTCGGTTTGGTGTTTTACTCGTTGGTAAAATTCCAGACTTCATTCTAACTCCGGTACATCTCGATTTGCTCACGCTCACGTTTTTCTTGTTCCTTCTTCTTTTTTCTGAAAATACGTTTCTCTTATCTCCTTTTCTCCCGGTAATTCTTTATCGCATTACGTGTCGGCAAAAGGAGTTATTTCGTCAATCAGGTGGGTAAGTTGAGCAGAGTATGCTTCTGATATCTGTTGTGTCTGCAACTTTTCGATGTCGAGTTTCCGTTTATATTAGATTGCATCTTTGCTGCTACATTATGACGAGTGCGAAGCTTGGCTGTTATAAGGTAATGGTCCGAATCGATATTCGTTCCTTGGATAGATCGAACTTCTAAAATACCGGATGAATATCTTCCGTCTATCAAAACATGATCAATTTGATTTCTCGTTGCTTGATCAGGAGAAATCCAGGAGGCCTTGTGTATATCGAGATGCTTGAATCTGGTGCTACTAAATACCATGTTTTTTGCTGCCTCGAAGTCTCATGCTGTTGTCGAATGAAGAAACCTTCATGGAGGCTGAATTATCCTACGGTGGGACCCTTCCAAGTTTGCATTAAAATCTCCTAACAGATGTTTAATGCCATAGCATGGCAATGGTCATATGCAGCTTCTAGGCGCTCGTAAAATATATCTTTGGTTTGTTCATATTTGTCTTCCATCGTAGCATGGGCGCAAATAAAACTGATGTAGAAGGACTTCGCTTTTATGCGGATTATAGAAATTTGCTCACCTACAGGGGTTATTTATTCTCTTCTTAGCCATAATTCCGTTAAATGCGTAACCATCTGATTTATTTTCAACGTTGTTGACATTACCTCCTTCTGTACTTTGCTGAAAGCACTATTGTATCGTAGAGCATTACTCTTTGGCCTTTCTGAAATTTTTAGTGCAGTGACCAGATAACAAACCATTGGGTCCTGGGTTCGAAGAAAAGGAACAGAAAGTCTTTCAAAGTGGTTTTTAAATATTGGTAAAAAGAGATGTACATCCCCTACAGATGAAATGCTAAATAAGAATTGTAGCGAGGTATCTCCACCCAGAGAAAAATTGCAACACTAAATAAGCAAGGACACCAACCAATGATCAACGTTTCCACATAAAAGGGGTCTATGATTAGAAACGGTGCAAGGTTTACTCGGCCAACGTATGTCACCTCAGTCCATTATGCTAAAGCATTAAGATTGCTATAAAAACAGCATCCTGTTCAAAATTCAAGAAGGCGTTATTTCTAGGCAACTGTAGATGGTGCCCCCCGCTATCTACGATAGCCAAAAGCCGACTGATCTGATACATTACCCTACACTTTAAATTCATCCGAAGCCCCTCGGCATCAACACATGAAGATAACACAAAATAAGGATTACAGAAGCGGGAACCTCAGGCATGGCACAAAATTCAATAAGACGTGGTTTCTAGGCAACGATAGATGGCAGCACCATCATCTAAGACTGTCGACACGCGGCCAAATCATTTACATAGCTACAATAAAAACAATGATGAACGAAGTTATCACTAGGACTACTAGAGTAAAATTACGGCACTTTGGGAAAGCCCTATGATCCAAGGGGGAGTCATAGCTTTGCGCACCAGTGGCATTTTTTTAATATTTGTAAGTTCAAAGTCCACTGACATATTAATAATCAACCTGGACATCAATAAATGAGGATAACATATAATAGGATTTCCAGGATATAGTGCCACTCAGAGGAAATTGGCAACACTAAATAAGCAAGGATCCCAACCAATGCTCAAAAGTCAAGAAGGCGTTGTTACTAGGCAACGATAGATGGCAGCGTCATCACCAACGAAACCCAAAAGCAGAAAAATCATCTTCTTTGAATAGCAACAATAAATAACGAAACTAACACAAGAAAAAATCGAGTAAGATGATTGTGAAATTCCTATGTTCAGAAGGAAGAGGAGCAGTAGGATTTAACGGAACTTATCGATATTTGTGCTTATTTTGAATTTAAGATTTGTCCTGATAAAAAACAATAAAGTCTATAGCTTTTACCCAAATTAAAGTATAAAAAATTCGCTTACGCGAAGGAGGAAAAAGTCTTCTAAAGTGATTTTCCAATATTTGTACAAAATAGGCTTACATCTTCCTATAGATGAAATGCATACGAAGCTCCCCTGACTTCGAATAACTAAACTTGTCATCAATACATGAGAATGACACAAAATATTTATGACAGGACATATCACAACCCGGAAGAAAAGTGCAGCACTAAATAAGCAAGGATCCCAACCACTGCTCAAATTCAAGGGGACGTTGTTTTAACCCAACGGTAGATGGAAGTCCGATCTTCTAGGACAGATTACAGCAGACCAATCATCTATTTATAAAGAATTTTAAAGTTTTTGATTGGGTTGGTAAAAATCGAAATCGTATTATCCGTCATAATAATTTTTAGCCAAAATGGTGTAGGTTATCATACCGACTTATGTCGAGTCCTTACTGGTTTATCTTCCTTTTTTTAAGATTATCATCAATATTTTTTCTCATTTCATGTTTTTATTTCAGGTGACCAAGAAATCGAACCCATTCACCCGCAAACGAATGCCACCGAACCAGATAATCCTCGCACATGGTCTGCCACATCGGTTGTCCAATTGACAGCAATGCGTGAACGGCATGGTGACATTTTACGTTGCTTGGCTTATCATGAATCGTATACGGCGAAAACGGTGCCCGTCGAAGCCAGACTAGATGTAAAATGTAAGTACACAGCAAATGATAATGGAATAGAAGAAGAAAGAAAAAGGAAAAAATAATTAAAAGAGTAAATTAGAGAGAGATTAGGCGAAAGGGCAACTATGTTATTTTTATACCCTTCACCACACTGTGGTACAGGATATTATGTCTTCGTGCATATGTT